ACACACACACACACACACACACACTCAGGAGAACTTTCTTTTAAAAGTTTTAAATAATCGTCAGTAACGAGTAAATTAACATGAATGATTGATTTTTGTTACATATATCCTTATTTGTCCATGAGACTGAAGTGAGATACTAAATGATAGGATTCACTGAGTGATGAGCTCATCACAGCCTCCAGCTGTTTCTGTCTCCACATCTGGATTCACACGTTTTTATGTTTCAGGCAAAGTTCACAATAACAAAGTGTGAAGACGAGCTGAGCAGCGTCACCTACATCATCGAGTGTCAAGGATCAGGAGTCCACAACCGCAACCTGTAGCCTGGAACACAGCCGACACACCCAAAACATAGCAGACGCACACAGACAACACAGAGCCAGAACATACCTGACAAGCAGCCGACAAACAGCCTCCGCAACATGGCCGACAAACGTGTTTCATTAAATCATGTAAAAAAACAAATAAAAGTATTTTCAAAATTCACGTTTGTTTCTGTTTTTACTGAGTTCAATGAAAAAAATCAAATTGGATAAAACACAGATTCTGACGAGGTCACGTGTCCATATGAACACAACAGAAACACGTTAACCTTTTCACATGTTCATATGGACACGAGACTTTAAAGATGTGAACCTCAGGGGACACCGTGATGAGCTGTGTGGCCTGTAGGGGGCGCTGACATGAGGTCAGTTGCAGGTCACAGCTGGGCCTGACTGGTGAGGTGGGTGTGATCTAAAACAGTGACATCATAAAGAAGAAATGAACATGGTGACAGGTTGAAAAAGTAACCAGTGTTGGATTCTGGGAACTGTAGTTAGTTACTAACAGGTGAGATTCTGTCCCAACAGGAAGCCGACAGGTGACCTGGACATGTCTCATCTTTTCCGTGATGTCAGCGTGTTGTTGTCCCTTTTTTCAGGGACAGTGTGTACAGCAGGAAATGCTGCACAGACCTGAATGTGTGTTGAAACCTGAGGAGGCTGTAAACTCACACCTCTGTCCCCTCTGGAACCAGAAGTAACTGGATCTGGATCACCTGACACCTCCTCTTAGTCCGGCCCTGCCCTCACAGTTTGCTTGCAGCCCTGCAGTATGGCGGTCACCGGGGCCTGGACGACACACCAGGACGGCTCCCGGATCCTCCAACCAGGACCAGGACTTGGGTCAGGGCTGGAGCCAGGACAAGGGGTGGGGCCAGGGCTGCGGCCAGGACCTGGGTCAGGACCAGGACCAGCTACAAACCGTGTTTGGATATCTCTCATCGCAGGTGAGTTTAACACAAACTAAAAGAGTAAAGATCTAATATCAGATTTAAAATGGCAAACAGGGCACATGAACACTTTTAAGAGCCTTTTTTGTTCCACACATGAACTAAAAGTCCTATCAGACCCAAACGTCTCCGAAACAGAAGAAAAAGAAAAACTGTTGGCTGTCAACAACACCCACGGAATGTTACTCCAACTGAACTCCCACCGACCAAGTGAGTCCTCTCACAGAGGCTGCACTAAAATGTCTGAAAAACAAGATTTTGGGAGACAACTGAAAGAAAACCGATGTTTGCCAGCGTCATATAAAGTGTTGAGATTAACTCATTGAGAGCAAGGTAAAATATTCAAAGTGGAAAAGATACGCTGCTGCAACCTACGACTCTCAAGCAACAAGAAAGAGAAAACATCAGGGAAGAGATTGAAGCGCTTCTCCTCAAATCTTCCTGCAGTGGAATGAGAAGATCAGAGAAGTTTTTGAACCAGGTCGGGAGGGGAGAAGAAGAACGGAGCCGCCAGGTCATCATGTGAGGAGGCTCCACTTGGTGCAGGACGATCTGCTGGCAAGAGAAGAACTGTGGCTGAAAATCAAGCCAGATCTCTGGGTATGGACGAATTCTTCAGAGGCCACATCCCAGGAACTGATGGACTCGTAGTTCAAAATTAAAGTTTGCCACCAACATCCGATGGGAACTTCAGAATTCTAAGAACTGTTACTTAACAATAAACGTTCTGTTTCACACACGTTTTACCTCAACTAGGTCGAGTGATTTTCTAAAAGCATTATATAAGTTTTAGCTAAGATTAAGAAAAACTCAACATGTCAATAGAATGCTTTAAATTTCACATTCAAAGAGTAGGACGACTTCCAGATCCCCTTCAGGAACCTACCTTCAGTTTCTGAGCAACAAAGCTCTGATATTCTTAAAACCTTATCTCATTTTGCACTTTATTAAATTAATTGTTTATTTTTCTTTATCATTAAGAAACAACCTTAAACTTATTAGTGTGTTACACTCAGACTCCTCACTACTTCTGGGAAACATAGTCACTGCAACACTGTAGAAAAATAGAGGTCAAAGAAACAGTTCAACAACTTAAAGGGTTGTTATCTTGCAGAAAACGTTTCATTGGGTGGTGGAACATGGTTCTGTAAGACTGACAGACACTAACACCACACTGGTTCCATTCTGTAACACTCCATACCTTCGGACTCACGACGAGGAAAAAACTGAGACTGTTTTCTTGGTTCAAACCAGAATTGACTCCTGATTAGTGGCAGATTCATTTGTCAGATTTCAAACTGTGAAATATCTCCTGCTCCACTTCAGATCAATGTATTCATTCATCCGAAGCTTCTCTACTGGAGTCTGCCACGAAGAGAGGAAACTTAACAACAACCTTCTGAAACACGATTGTAGTGACATAAAGACACTTATCGAAGATGCGTCACAGGACAACTCCATCTTATCATTCTCACAAATGGGAATTCTTGAAAAACAAAATTCGCCAATATTCATCAGGGTTCAGCAAGAAAACAAGGTAACATGTCATCACAGCCACATCACTGTTTCCCAGAGGACCGTGAAGGCAGCACAGGGCGCTCTGCTCACTGATTGGCTGTGGCTGTTAAGGGCGCGGCTCTGTTACTATGGTAATGCGTGTCTTGAGGATCAATCACAGTCTCAGACTTGAGCCGCTGCGGTGCTAACGTGCTAACAGGCTAACAGGCTAAAAGATTCAACCGTGAAAACGCGAAGAAGAAACAACGGAAACGGAAGAAAAAGTTCGTGAGTGAGTGAAGAGCAGCCGCACTGCCTGATGGGAAGCAGAGCAGACATCTCTTCACTTCTCAAACAGTTCGGCTGCAGCTGCTAAATGTTAGCGGCTAACGTGTTAGCAGTGAGGAAAGTTTGAGGAAGTGCGACCTGTTCAGGATGAGTGACCCCGAGCTGCAGGGGGCGGCAGAGTTCATCAGAGGTAAGGACTCAAAGACTCAAAGACTCAAAGAGTTCAGTCAAACGATAGAAACGAGTGATCCGCTGATCACATCCTTGATGATCAGGATTATTTGTTTATAAGATGAGCTGAAGCTTCACTGAGGAAACTCACAATCGATTCAAAGAAAGAATTCAAATACGATGAATGTGTAAAACTGTGACGTCAGTGATCTGTGTTGTTTGGAATGTCCACACTGAAACTGTGACGTCACGTTGTCTAAGTTCAGCTTTGACTCGTGTTTAGAATCAAACTGAAAAGTTGAACTTACATGAAGCTAATGTGAGGCTAATGTGAAGCTAATGTACTTTCATGATTCTTGCTGTTCTGGGTTTGTTCCCTGTTGCACTTATTATGAGCTGCTTTGGATAAACGCTAAATGATATGTAATGATATGTAATGATATGTAATGATAATCATATGTAATGATATGTAATGATATGTAATGTGTTTTTCTGCCTCCTTCAGAGCGTCTGTACTTTGCCACATTACGCAGTAAACCCAAGAGCACGACCAACACACACTACTTCTGCACAGACGAAGAGTTTGTCTACGAGAAGTAAGTCCATGTTCTTTTACTGCACTGCATCATGGGAGTTCAAACCAATGTCTGTTGTCATGGTGACTTCCTCTGAGCTCAGGTTTGTCCGGAGGTCTGAGTCCAGGTCTTTACTTCAGGTTCTGAAATGGCACATATGTTATTGATGACGGCAGTGTGTTAATAATCGTCTTTAACAGCTGTTTTTCTCTTCTTTTCTTCTTCGCTCCTTCACTGTTCGTGGTCAGTGAGCTCGAACTCGTCAGGATTTTAAATCTGAGCAGAAATGATTTCAAATCTGAGCTGTTGCTTCACATATTTTTAAACTGTCAGTCAGAAGAATGGACATGTAGCCGACTTCATTCTGAACTCTGTTGTCACTCTTTACTCTTTTTAGAGCGCGACATGTGAACATGGTCTTTGAGTTTCCTGATGCTAGACCAGAACCAGACAAACTAAATCAAATCACTGAATAAGACGGACTCAGACTGCGTTCCACTTGTTAGTGACCTCAGACCTGGACGAGGAATTCAGAGTGTGTGTGTGTGTGTGTGTGTGTGTGTGTGTGTGTGAGAAAACACTCTGACTCTGTGTGTGTCTCTGTGTCTCTGTCAGTTTCTATGCAGACTTCGGTCCTCTCAACTTGTCCATGTTGTTCAGATACTGCTGCAAACTCAACAAGAAGCTGAAGGTGAGTTTCACCCCTCCCACTGCAGGAATGTCCAGAATGCAACAGGACACATGCAGCGTTACCTACCATCCCATTCTGAGTGTGACATACATGACTCCATTATTTAAGTTTCACCAATAACGTGTTCATTCAGACAGCAGTCAGCTGACACAGCTTATTACTCATTCATTTGTGTTTCTAGTATATATGAGACACGCATATAAAGGAGTGTATCGTTAATTATGTGTGTATTCTATTTTGTGTGTGTGTGTTCACTTTGCTTTTCAGATTGTTAAATGTATGTTTTGTGTTGTCTTTTTGTTGCTATGGTGATGACATTCCTCCAGTTGCCTGTTGTTGTTGATCGTCATAACAACAAGCAGACTTGACATAACAGGAAGTCGTACCTGAACCAAACCGAAACCTGCAGAAAATCCTGAACATGTCCTGGTTCTGATCATGAACATGTTTAGGTCCAGATCGTGAGAATGTTGAGCGATGTCTCCGTTTTTCTACAGTCAGTGATTTCATTTGTTTCAGCAGCTCCTCCTTTTCTTTCTGCAATGCATTGTGGGAGAAGACGTTCAATCAGTCTCTTAGTAATCAGGACGTTGGTGTGAAATGTGTCTGCTCACAGTGAACTATGTGGAGTCATTACGCTATTTTCCCATGTTGCATTGCACAGAGGAAACAGGAGCTGCAACGCAAAAAGAATATAACTAACAAAACAAATGTTTTTAACAAGTTGAATTTGCCGACATCACTTTCTGTGAGTGTGAGTCACATTTTTCAGCGCGGGAGTTTCTATACAGAGGTCAGAGGTCATCAAGCGGATTTTAGTCATGTGATCAGAACCTGCAGGTCAATAACAAACAGTCAGTAATGAGGAAACAGGTGATGCTTTAAACGCTGACTGAGTCACTTGACCTGTCACATGAGCACCGAGACGTCTGCACACAAACAACAGAAACCTGATGAAGGTGTGCTCCTCTTCCTCAGTCCTTCACTCTGACCAGGAAACGTATCGTTCACTACACCAGCTTCAACCAGAGGAAGAGATCCAATGCTGCTGTTCTGATTGGAGGATATGCTGTGAGTGCATCACTTCCTCTTCCTGTTGACTAAACGTTAAACAAGCCGAGATAAAAACTCACAATACATTTAGCGTGCTGGTCACATGATGGGGGAGTTAGGGTCAAAGGTTAGAAGACACATGACTGGTCTTCTTTGTGTCTCAGGTGATTTACCTGAAGAAAACTCCAGAAGAAGCGTACCGAGCTCTGATCTCTGGATCTAACGCCTCATACCTGCCCTTCAGGTCAGTGTCCACACTACTTCCTGTTCGACCTGTGACCTTTAACTCTGTAACTGTGCGAACCAGCAGGGGGCGTTCAGGAACCTCCTGAAAACGTAGTCCTCTTTTCTGACATTGAATCCCGAGTCTCAGAGAGAGAATGAGAGAGAGAGACTTTTATTGTTAAATGATTAAATAGTGATGCGTTCACTGAGTGTCTGCATATTCACTTTGTACAATGTTGATGTTCAACACTGAAATAAATTGAAGTAAACACATCGTCAGCTGTTTATCTGCTGGACGACAAGTCACCGATGATACTGATGACTCTGTGTGACTGTGACTTTTTGACTCTGAATAATTGTCTTTGCGACTGTGTATCTTTGTATCTTTGTGACTGTGTCTTTGTGTCACTGTATCTTTGTGTTTCTGTATCTTTGTGTTTCTGTATCTTTGACTCTGCATCTTTGTGACTCTGCAGGGATGCATCTTTTGGAAACTGCAGCTACAGTCTCACTCTGCTCGACTGTCTTCAGGGCATCAGGAAGGTGAGTTCTTCACTCTGATTGACTGAATCAACCAATTGGCAAGTGGACACGTCCACTATGAAGATGTGTAAAAACACACACAGCGGGTGTGTGATGTCAGCATGGATGTGTTTGTGTATATATAAATAAATAAAAGTGAGGTTGTGTTTCAGGCTCTGCAGCACGGCTTCTTTGACTTCGAGGCCTTTGATGTGGACGAGTATGAACATTACGAGGTGAGTCGAGAACGTCACTCAGACATCAGTCACATGACACAGAAACAGAGGAAAATAACTATGACGATAGATGAGCGCCCCCCTCAGGATGGTCAATGCAATGTTTACTCCAGACGTGTGTGACCTCGTCTTTCTCTCGGTCTGTACGCAGCGGGTGGAAAACGGCGACCTGAACTGGATCGTCCCTGGGAAGTTTGTGGCGTTCAGCGGACCTCACCCGAAAACTAAAGTGGAGAACGGTGAGTTCACAGGAAGTGACATCAATCAATCACATTTTATTTGTATATATCCACAAATCACAGTTTGTCTCATCGATGTCAACAAGTCGTCCTCTGTCCTTCACTCAACAAGAGTCAAACTACAGAGACACTTTCTGAGCAGTAACTGAAGCTCAGAGTCTCATGTGAGGATCCGTCTCCAGGACACGAGGACAATAGATGCTGATGAACTGAAGACATCAACACAACAGATTTATTACATTAGAAGAAACAATTTGTAACTTCATGTTACCAATGACCAAGAAATAAGAATTAAAATCATTAACCCCGCCCCCACTCTGAACGCCACTATAACACTTGTGCCGGCTCCGCCTCCTGCAGGTTACCCTCTCCATGCCCCCGAGGCGTACTTCCCCTACTTCAGAAAACACAACGTCACCACCATCATCCGTCTCAACAAGAAGATCTACGATTCCAAACGTTTCACCGACGCCGGGTTCGACCACTATGACCTCTTCTTCATAGACGGCAGCACGCCGAGCGACACCATCACACGCCGCTTCCTTCACATCTGTGAGAGCACAGACGGAGCCGTGGCCGTCCACTGCAAAGGTAAGGACATCCTGTATCCTGAAGTGACTCGTTGTTTCTGATGTTGTCTGTCCCTGTCCTCTCGTCTGTCTCTCTCCTTTCGTCTGTCCCTGTTCTCTCGTCTGTCTCTCTCCTTTCGTCTGTCCCTGT